TTCTTTTTTTTGTTTGTTTTAACTAACTTTTTGCCCTCCTGTAAAGCTTGCGCTCTTGCATCCCTCCCCTCTTCCTGGATGCATGGGTGGTTCTGCTTGATGTTACGAATGAATAATTCGTGCTCCCTACAGTTGAAAGTGGGTGTATTGCATCAACTTTTTGTTGCATTTACCATAAATTGAACTTCAGCTTGATAAACTAGAACAGTTATGTCCTCAATTGCATTAATTGTTGTGTGGAAGACTGCAGCTTGATGTCCTTCACTTCGTTCGTTGTTGGAACAGTCGTTTAACTTAATGCTTGCTCAGCGTTTGTTCACTTTACATTATAATTTCAGGAACTCATTATCTCTCATATCTCTTCTTCCATTTCAGCTGCTCAAAAAGCTGTAAAAATCGTTTCCGTGGATGCCACTGTGCGAAGAGTCAATGCAGAAGCAGACAATGTCCATGTTTTGCTGCTGGACGTGAATGTGATCCAGATGTTTGCCGCAATTGTTGGGTTAGGTAATAATATTGGGCTTAACACACGTCATTATAGATACCTTTAGTGCCTCATCATAAAGGCTGATGATTTACACTAATCAGTTTGATATTGCAATGGATAATCAAGATTTTGAGAATTGTAGTTGAAAGTGGATAACACACTACTCGAACCTATACGTGTAAGTAGATAAAACCTCGAACCTATTCATTGTGGTTTTAGTTTCCCGAAGTGTCTCTAGTACATGGTGATACTTCTACTACAAAACCTTTTTGACAACTCCCCTGGTTGAATTTGTTTAATATTTACTATCACGAACTTTAACGTCTAGGAACTGTTGTGACACCATCAGTGATCAATTCATCCAAAACTAGGTACTCTTGTGAATTATTTGACCGATCATCTTATGAAAAACCTTCTTTCTCTCTTCAAACCCCCCACTCCCGAGGACCTTCCGTAAGAAAAGTAAGAATAAGGGAGGTCTCTATTTTCTTGTCTTTCCAATTTATTTGCTAACAGAGAATGATATCTATGGTTATGCAACTTTATGGATGTTTCATCTCAATGGCCTGCAATGCTAAGGGGTCAAGAACTATAATTCCTCCAATCTCTTGTGCATCTTTAATAGACTTTATTTTTTCGTGTTGCGAAGTTTTAGGCAATTTATTGTTAGAGAAGCATCACAAGGCTGAAGTGCTTGTTTTCATGTTGATTTCAAATAGTTATGTAGTTGAAAGCTAAGCTGTAGCCTCTGAATTCCCTCATGTATTTCTTCTTGAAATATTGATGCACACTTTGCAGCTGTGGTGATGGGTCATTGGGTGAACCTCCTCGACGAGGAGAAGGTCAATGTGGTAACATGAGGCTCCTCCTGAGGCAGCAGCAAAGGGTCAGGCCATTTTAGGGATTTCAGTCACTTCTATTATGAAACTTTGTTTTTCATTTTCTCCTTTTCTCAATCTGTCCTTTGCCTCATTTCCAACAGATTTTGCTATCAAAATCTGAAGTTGCTGGATGGGGAGCCTTTCTGAAGGTAGCCATATTCCTGTGCGATACACTTGCTGCGTAAGCTAGTACTATAAAGTATTAATAAACTAATTAACTAATTTGTTTAATCTTTCTCATTTTTGTACCTAGAATCCTGTTAACAAAAACGATTACCTGGGAGAATATACTGGTGAATTAATTTCTCATCGAGAAGCAGATAAACGGGGGAAAATATATGATCGTGCAAATTCGTCCTTCCTTTTCGACTTGAACGATCAGGTGAGCACTGCTAATTGTTTGAGAGAATCTAATATTCCCTTGTGTTGCAAAATCTGAATCTTAGGAGCATTGTTGGTTTTTTAAAAGGATGGGGCAGCAAAAATATTAAAAATATACAGTTAGAAGTAGGAAAAGATGCCGACAGTCGAGGTATTTCGAATTGTTTGTTGACACGGACAAAGGAATTCTCACAACAACAAGGTCTACTCGACACGAATTCCGCGTTAATGAAACTTTTCACAGGAATCAATTGAGATCGCTTCAAATTGGACATAATCTTTGATTTTTATCATGCTATTCTAGTATATGCATACAAAATGTATTGGGGTTAAACCAGGTAGTGAGGATGAAAAAAAGCATAAGCTACCTCGTTCGTGCTCCCGTCTTTATTGAAAATGTCTCTACTTTTTTTATTAAACATAGAGGTCTTTAAATAGCCAACTTGAGAGCATAATATGCAGAAAAATCTGCATAACAAGAATTCAAAAAATCTGAAATATCTCAACAAACCTAAAAAATCTAACAGAAATTTTAATTCAAAAAAGTAGATTCATCCTAAAACTAAGCTAACTTATTATGCTAAAAAAATGCAACAGTAACTGAAGCAAATCTTTAACACTCCTTTGCTTCAGTTGCTCTATAATAATTGCTCCTCCTCAATTACTGCTTGTGCTGTTTGTGCTTGAGGATTGTGTTGAGCGTCTTTAAACTTGCACACTTTTGTAACATGGCCTGTTTGTTTGCAAATACCACATATTGCATCATGTTTCCACCAACAAAATTTTTCTAGGTGTGTTTTCTTTTTGCAGTATTTGCAAAGAGGATAATTGACCTTTTCATTTTTGTTTTGTGCATAAAAAGCACCTTCGGTAACTATTTCATGTCTAAATGCTCTTCTTTGTTCTTATGCTTGGAGAGCACTTATTAATTCTGCAACAGAGATAGTAGGGAGATCTTTAGACTCTTCTAGAGGGGAAATTTTGGACTCGAATCTCTCTGGAGCCGTTACAAGAATTTTTTCAACTATTCTGTCATCTTTGAAATCCTCGCCAAGCAACCTATCAGAATACCTAGTGATAGTCTCATCTTCTTGCATCCTAAGAGATTCAAATCCCTTTTCAAATTTAAAAATCTGCATTTGTCTGACTCGATCACTTCCTTGGTACTCCTTTTTAAGCTTTTCCCAAGCTTCTTTTGTTGTCTCACATTCAATAATTTTAGAAAACATTGAATCCGCAATTGAATTTTGAATCACAGTTTTGACTTTATATTTTCTGGTTTTCTCTTCTGAATGGTTTTTAATTTGGGCGAGAGTAGGATATGCAGGGAGTGATTGTAATGGTCTATCTTCCATTACAACTTTCCATAAATGATAGGCTTCAAGATATGATTTCATTTTCACTGACCAAATCTGATAGTTTTCACTAGTGAAAGTTTGTGGGGCATTCAAAGAGAGACTGTTGCTTGCCATGTTTCAAAATGTGTTTTCAAAATTAATATTGGTTAAAAATGATTTGAAAATGGTTCTTTGGAAGAACTCAAGATCCCGTAAGACCAATGAAGCTCTTGATACCACTGTTGGTTTTTTAGAAGGATGGGGCAGCAAAAATATTAAAAACATTGATTGAAAATGTCTCTACTTTTTTATTAAACATAGAGGGCTTTAAATAGCCAACTTGAGAGCATAATATGCAGAAAAATCTGCATAACAAGAATTCAAAAAATCTGAAATATCTCATCAATCCTAAAAAAATCTAACAGAAATTTGAATTAAAAAAATAGATTCATTCTAAAACTAAGCTAACTTATTATGCTAAAAAAAAATGCAACAGTAACTGAAGCAAATCTTCAACAAGCATTCATCCTGCGCTGTATGCTCTAGCAGGTGTATGCTCTTATTTCCACAATCTAGAAATTCTGGTTCCAAGTTGTTACTCATTTTCAGTCATGATTTTGGGGCATTACAATTTTCAATTCTATCATATTCAATTATTAAGCAGTGATGTCCTCTCGATTTACTTGTCAGTCAGTTATTTTGGATTCTTCTACCTGTATGCCTGATTTAATCAATCGAGGAAACAATCAAATACAAAAACATATGGCAACTAACTAATAAACACTCCTTTTGAGTTAATCCTGGGCTGGAGCTCAAAAACTAGACAAGTCCTTTCAACAAATTAACAAGTCTCTTCTCCTTCTTGTAATCTAGAAGTCCCATTGACATTTCGGAGAAAAGCAGGTTAAAACATCTTAAGCTAACTTGTTAAAGAATTTTATGATCTTTACTAAACATGTCATCTCGTGCTCTCCTATTTTTATTGCAGTATGTCCTTGATGCTTATCGGAAGGGAGACAAGCTGAAATTCGCCAATCACTCATCAAACCCGAACTGTTATGCAAAGGTACATATAATCCTAGTGTATTAGAGCTCAATAAAATTCTTGACTTTGCTGATTTTGACATCTTTTTAGGTAATGCTGGTTGCTGGTGATCATCGAGTCGGCATATTTGCAAAGGAACGTATTGAAGCTAGTGATGAGCTTTTCTATGATTATCGTTATGGTCCTGATCAAGCACCAATATGGGCTAGGAAACCTGAGGGCACAAAGAGAGATGATTCACCAGCGCCTCAAGGTCGAGCAAAGAAACACCAATCTCATTGAGACAGTGTTTTGACCTTCTCAATGGTTGTAACATAACCATTTCTGGAAGGTGTACTACNGAAGAAACATGTGTGTGTGTATATATATATATATATATATATATATATATTAGTCACATGAACAGATAAAATAAATTGTTTGGGTTGGACACTTTTATGTGTCTTGTAATAACATAGGTTATGTAGACAATTTTGTTTCTTTCTTTTTTGTGGAATTTTTTACTCTATTCAGGACCAACCTTGGTTTGAAACCCTCTTATAATTAGTTAGGGTGGTCAAAACTCAAGACAAGACTTCATGAAGGTAGGGTTTGGCATCTACCTCTACATTGCTTATTATTGTAACCAAAAAATGAAATGCATGAAATAGCGAATATAGTACCTTTCTGAAAAAAGGAAACTTTCTATTACACAGATGACTAGGAAAAGGAAAGAGGAGAACGGGGACATGTCAATGAGAATTGAATTCACGCCTATTATGCGTGACTTGTCGATACCTCTAGACTATAATCGTGCCTTTCTTTTTTTCCATGATTCGCCTTAAGCCCATTTTGTGCCTATGTAGGAGGGGAAAAAACAAAACAAAAGATAAACCCGAACTTCACAGTTATATGCAACCGAGCAAACAGGTTGAACAAATGAAAGAATTTACAAATTTGAGAAGGAAATTTCAGTTAGTCAAACTCTTTCTTCTTTTACTTTCTAAATGCATATACAATATTTCATTCCAGGTGTCTGGAACCCCAGGAAGACACCAATGGCTACAATCTTGAACACGCGAAGAGCTACCCGGTTTTCTTCCATATATAGAGGGATGACCATCAATCCTATACTCTGACATACCAGTTATATTCAAAAAGGTAACTGGAGTCTTCATCTTCCCTATGATTTGTTCCACTATCATATTCTTCTCCGGGTATTCGCCTTTGTAAGTCTCAGGAAGAGGTTGAGAAGTTTCTCTGCAATGCCCACCAGTGTTCCACTGACCCCCGCTATCAAATTTAAGAAGAGGATGATAAGCAATGCAAGATTTGAAGCCAATACTTAGTTCAAAGCAAAATAAGGCATACCTGAAATGAGAAGGAGCAGAACTTCGGAAGAAAACTTGTGTTTTGCTTGGATTGACATGTCTATCTACCCATTGTGCCCAAGTAGTCAGGGCCTTTTCGAAAGCTGTTGAAACATCAAGACGAGGATGAACTTGATTCCTTTCCTGGTAGTAATTTTTCCTGTTGTGACACTACAAAGTTAGATGTGCAGTGGTGTAATGCAAGACAGTACATAAAGCAAGAAAGGTGAAACGGTTTGGCAATGCAGAATGTCCGGCGAGAGCATTGTCCAGCATTGTCCACACACAAGAATAACCAGCAACTTGATTTCCATCTTAATAACAAAAAAATGACATGAAAAACAAACCTAGCTCATTATCTAGTCAATAGTATAAAGCTGGTTATGCCAAATACTTTTTATATCCTATCACAAAATAATGATCCCGTTTTGGCATCTAAATGTTGGCTTCTTCGGTTAAAAATTACTATAAATCTGCTTGTTAGCCTCAATTAGTACCGAAATCCAAATAGATTTCCCTATCGATCATTAAAGTAAGAACTTCAACAATAAACTTCTCCAAGATCATATTACATTCCTACTATTAGTGTTTCGCAGATGTTAAAGTGGAAGTAGCTTTAATGTCCCAAGCAATAAGCACCTAAAGGTATGGAGTATGGACTAGGTCACTAGGGTAAGTGAAGTGATGAAAACGATGGGAAACTAAAATTCAAATACCTGTCTATGTCTCCGAAAATAGAGTTATTTGACACTTGTACTAGTGAAAGTAGCAAGTACTTGATAGAAGTGTTCGCAAACTAGCTCGGACCAGCCATTATATAAGAAACAAAAGTCCCTAGGCATAATGCTTGAAAAGGCTTACCCTGCTTTAGTTTTATGGTGACTCCACCAATGAGCGGTGTTAAAGACCAGAATATCAGCCCCTCTCCATCTTGATGAACTTTTGTCAACCGTGTCAATACGCAGCGTCTGCACTCGTTTGCTGCCTATCCTTGCCTTGCCCTCATGAACCAAAAAATGAGTTACATAGTATTCAACTGTACATTGATAGTCCTGCAACAATGACACCAAAATAATTTGAAGCTAGCAAAACAAGATCCTTTGCATATTCAGTTATTCATAAGTAAGAAAATGGAAATTAAAAAAGAAGTTTGAATTGATTACCACAAATTTGAAACAATAATTCCCCTTCTCTTTGGTTATTCTCCGACCACGAGTCTCATAAACCTTTCTTGGGTCTGCAATAGCTCCCATTAATAAGCACATCATTGATTCCCATTGGTTTCTGTTAATAGAATCGCCAACAAACACTAATCTTTTGCCTCTAATTAGTTCCAGCATTTGAGTAGCATTGAACCTATGACATAAAGTTACAAGCTAACAATTACTTATTTATCAAACTTTCTTATTACACTTTACTAGACAAGTCTACATCTTGAACAGACAATGAAAGCGTACATTTTAAGCAATGAATAAGGGACAAAAGAGTAAAGTTGTTATTGTTTTACCTACCCTGGAATGTCACAATCTTGAGGTTGCCACCTCCATTTCATATAATGCTTATCCAATCTTCCATTAGATTCACAACTAAAACCCTCATCAATGTAGGGACATGAGGCATTTGTGTACAAAGGGTAGCTCTCATCAAATACCCACTTCCCTTTAGTGATGTCACATACTTTTTTATTATTCACCACCTTGAGCACAATATCACTAGAAGCTTCTCCTTCTATTTTCTTGAATAAAGGAAAAGAGACATTTTGCTGCTGCTGTTGCTTAGTACTTCTATTTGCACTATCTATTTGAAGAACCTCAGAAACAGTTTCAGATTTCGTCGAGCGGTTACCAGAAAAGGTTGAATTTTTCACACCAAAAAGGACAGTAGAGTTACTGTTTATGTCGTAAGCGACTGATTTAGGCTCACTTTCCTTTTCCAAAATTCCTTCAGATGCTGAAATGTTAGAAATTTGGGACTCATTTTCAATTCTACTGAAATGGGTGCCCACCAAAATTGAGTTCTTGATTTGGGTTGCTGAGTAATTTGTGTGAAAAGAACTCAAAGTTTGAATCTTGAAGTTGGGTTTGAGATCCAAAGGGACTGAAGTAGTAGTGTTGAAGTGAAGATGGGGGTCTTGAGGAGTAGATAGTGGAAGGTTGAGGACCCAAATGGAAAAGAAGATGAGAAATATTACAGAAAAGGAGATGGTGAAAGAGAAAAGCCATAGCCTTGTGGGCTTGATGGAGAAACTCCTCTGCTTCTCCATAAAAAAAATTCTGAGTAAACTGTGTGTGTGTGTGTGTGTTTATGTGGGGGTGTCAGGTTCTTCTAAAATACAATACTATAGAAGTCAAGAAAAGTGGTTAAGATATGGTAATGCACAGGGAGAGGCACATGCTGACATGCAAAGGTGTTTTGGAAATTATTAATAATAATATACAACAGCTAATCAAGATAAGAATTGTACAGTAAGTAGCATTATACAAAATCATAAATCATTGACAAGACTCAAGAGAGAGTAGTTGTAAGGAAACGTATGCTCAGACTCTGGCGGAGTGATGGAAAAGATCGTGACAAAAATGAGTGAGGTTGGTTTCCTTTAATTTAACTAATAGAGTAGTTATCAGTTGTCAACAATGAATTAATTATAAAGTATAAATGTCAGTAAAAATGTTTCATATATTTTTCTTTCTTTAAAAGAAGTAAAGAATTGAGTTATGGTTATCTTGGTGATGACGAAAAGATTGACCATTGTGCCCCAAACTTTTGTTAGCATTGCATGGGATGATAGCTAATAAGGTTGTGAAAATATATCAATTTCTTTTTTATTAACGTTATGTTTGTTTTTAGATAGAGATAGAGGGGTAATAAAGAAGAGAAATATTGATCATTTACTATGAATTGTCTAGTACAGTTGGAAGGAAAGAGAAGATATATGGACAATTTACTTTCAAATGTTTGGTGCAAATTGAAAAGGATGTAGGAGGGATATATATTTTCTCCCTCTCACCAATTTTGTCAATTTATTTTGTCAAACTGATAAAAGTGACATGGAGCAATTATTATTTTCACTCTTTCTTTCTTACTTCTTTCTTTTTTTCTGGTTTTGTTATTAAAGTCTATGGCCGCCCTACTAACACTGTTAGAAACTATTCCTTTTTCGATAAAAGTTTAATTTATTTGTATAGTTGCTATCTATTGTATCGTATTATATTGTTATTTTAAATATAATATTTATTTTAATTATTATTTTAATTTTATTATATCGTATCGTTAAATTTGTTATTACATAACAATGAAAAGACTCTTTTTTACGTAATGACCAATTTGGTGTGGTCGCATCGTTACCTTATTTTTTCTTCATCTTGGCTTTACTATAATTCTATTTTACTCTCCATCCTACCTTTTAATAATTATTCTACCTCATACTCTACTCTTTTTTTTTTGTAATGTTATAGGCTTATTCTTTAAATTGCTATTATGAAACGGAAAAATAATTCAATTTATCTAAATATTGTATCGACTAAAATATACTGTATAATATAATACAATAGTACAATTCGATACATAAAGAAACTATATATAACAACCATGAAAATTTCTTCTCTTTTTTCAGAAAGAAATCAGTTGGTAATTGGCACCTTTCATTCTTCATTCATAAAATTCCAATATCCTGCGGGCACAAACATAATATAAGCCGTTCCAAAATCACACACTTAAAATTGGCATTTATGACCAAACAACTTATGAAACAGATTTAAAAAGAAAAGGCCCGTTATTCAATGAAGGAAAGGATAGGATAGGAAAAAGAGTGAGACATCTTTTTTTTTGTTTTGCTTTAGGTATCAAAGCAACAACTCTTGCAGAATAATAAGACATCTAATTAAGAGTGAAGATTTGGTGAGCACACTCCACTTCCAACCAAGAGCTTGTGAGTTCGAGTCACCCCAAGAGCAAGGTGGGAAGTTGTTGGAGGGAAGGATGCCGAGGGTCATTTGAAAACAGCCTCTCTATCCCAGGGTAGGGGTAAGGTCTGCGTACATACTATCCTCCTCAGACCCCACTAGTGAAATTATACTGGGTTGTTGTTGTTGTAATTAAGAGTAAAGATTTAATGTGAGACACCTGAATACGCTGCAACTAAGTGATGCTGTAATAAAATAAATACGGTGCATTCTACAAAATAAGATTGATAGTTCTTGCCTGAGGTACATAAATCAGTAGCTGGAAATTACCTAGTATAAAATTTACTCTCACACAAAAATTAGAAAGGAAAGATAGAACCCCGTAACTCTTAAGTTTGTGGGTGGTAAAATTAAGCAGAAAAAACAGCCTCAACAAGAACATGTTTTTTCCTAGGATATCCCAAACCAATCATATGGTTAAGATAAACAGTCCCTTCCTTCACAGTTGCTGCTGTAGTTAAACGATGAATAGCCCCTTTGGCCTTTCCCACAATACTACAACTCTCCCAATCATCAGAACTCTCAACTAACCTCGTCGGATTTCCAGCAACCACTAGTTTGGTCGAAGACAACAATTCCATGCCATCCCCAAATTTCAATGATCCACCATTTATCTTCACTAGCTTTACTTCATCTCCCTTTGCTATTTCAATTTTGTACAAATTGCCAGAGAATGTATGAGCCACCAGTAAGTATCCATTTGGATGATAAACTATTCCGTTTAGTCCAACTAGCTTATTGTACCACTCTTTAGGAGTAAATATTGGGTTCTTGATCGTATATTTAAGTTCTCCATTCACGCCCACCTTCCATATCTTATTTGCTTTGGCATCTGTAATGTATGCATTTCCCTCTGTATCGACCACCACATCGTCTGCAAATGCTTTCTCATCCTCTGCAGGTTTGAGTATAGCATTAGTAGAGTTATAATCAAGCAATAAGAAAGAAGACTCAAAGGTGGACCTAGGACGAGTTATGTGAGTTGAACTGAACCAACTGTTTTAGGCTCGAACTATATATACATATGCAGATAATTAAAATGTATGTACACATATAATAAAATCACACGTCATGTTGTACTTGGTGACTCTAAATCTTGAATTTAACTCTATATTATAAGAAATCATGTTCGATGAGCATATCTTGAAAATTAAATGAAGTGCTCGAACACTAATACCTGGACATGTGGAAACAATCATTTTGACTCACAATTGCACAGAGATACAAGCTTTCAGTGCCTAGTTAGTTTATTGTTAAACCATTTATTATTGTCCTAGCTCACTTCCAAGTGATATCTAGTCATCTTATGATTTTAAAATCTTAAATATCTGCTTATGTCTGAGGCTGAATAGTTGGCCAAAATGAAACTCTCAAAGCTGTACAAGAACAGATAAGAATACAAAAATCACTACAGGTCATTGAGTGATACAAACTATGTTAGAACTCCAACACATAAACTCAATGGGATTAACTGTCTCAACAGGCCATATTCTCTGTTTACGTCTCAATTTATTTTTTTTTGTTTTGCTGGATAAATATTACTACTAGAATTTTAATAGGGGTGGAACTTTGAAGGGTGTAATATAACACAATCAAAGTTCTCTAATACAAAAGATATTGTATATAAAATAGACACAAATCTCTAACAATTGAAATTTCAAATAATGAGGCGCCATCAGCCGTACAACTAGAAAGAAGTTCCACAATACAATTAAAGAAAGAAATCTTACAAGAGATTTTATGGCATGAATGGAACTGACTACTTGTTCCTTTACCTTATGTAAAGAAAGGCCCACTTTTGAAGCTCTTATGCTTTTAGACTTATTTTATCTTCTCAACACTACCGGCTACTCCAACATATAAGATTTATTTAACACTCAAAGCATGAGACATCAGTACAACCCCTTAAAAAGATATTTAATAATAAGAGTATGTGTCTAAATAATTATTTATTTCTCTCTTAATTTGGAGAAAAAATAGCAACAAATGTTTCTTATTTTTCTAAAAATCAAATATTTTGGAACAAATATATTTTCCCTTAAAGGACTAATATTTCGAACAAGAAAAATAATTTACTGTCAGAAATACCGTCCACATGGACAGGCTTGACCTGTGGTAAACGTAACTTTTGGAAATAGAAGTACCAAGTCTTAAGTGCTTTCCTACCCACCGAAAATTAAGATATTAATTAAGCAAGACCTAGCGTGCCTTTATTAGCCGAACAAAGCGGAGTCACAAATGAAAACACATCAAAGAATTAGGCCATAAGTGCTTTCTTACCCACATTTAGAAGATATTGAAGTGGTTTATTGTGTCTCAATTAGCAACTCTTTACATAACCCAAATACCCATCAATGAATTGTGGGGAGACAATCAACTCTACCTGATCTTGGCACAGACTCCAGAAATGGAACCAATATTTTCAAATGTTTGCAGCTTATTTATTCACCGCATAGCACAACAATTTGGCTAATAACACTAATTTTCATAAATGACTTTCCACAAATAATTATGTTTCCAACAATACATAAATAGTACTAATTTTATATAAATGTATAATTTTTTCAGTCAAATATTTTTTTTAAATTATATTCACATGTATAGTAGTACTTTTTAAAGTATTTCTAATTATAATTTTTATAAAAAATATATCTCCAATCTACACTTCGTTGAATCGTTATACAAGAAGAAGAATATAATTTCTTTGTGATATATAAAGATTCGCGCCATCGAATGATGGGTTATCTGCCATCCTTATTTCTTTTCCTTTTTTTAACAGTGACAAAAGCATAGGATAAAAACAACCACAAGAATCTCGAGGCAAAATGGTCACCAACAGAGCTGAAAGATTGTAGAAAAGATACAAGTCAAAACAAAAACTACGGAATTATACACTTTTATATTAAACTAGTAATTTGTTCTCTTGAGCTCTATTTTTCTTTGAGGTTTTAAACTTCGTTATGTTTGCCAGACAAAAATTCGCCGTCCAATCTGATAATTGTCCCGTCTTTAATCAAAATGATTAGGTTTATTATATTAAGAGAGAACTTAATATGTTGAAATAATTCTTTGCCCAAAAATGCAACAGGCGAAGTATTTATTCAACCTGACCATATTTGGCGTGGAAAAGGACATAGAATAATATAAAGAATTAATGTATTAGGGGACTACCTGGACCGCTAAGTTTGGTGAGAAAAATCCGGTTCCACGACGTCAAATCATAGGCAGCCAAAGCGCTATAGCGATTGCCAAATACATCAGCTACAGCAACCAAAACCCGGTTCCTTTCCCGGTCTATAGTTAAACCGAGCGACGCATTGCCGGTCAAGTCAACATCCTTAACGACCGGAATTTCCTGCAGCACGTTACCCGGGGAGTAATTCTCATCGACCGGAATCACACCTAAACCGCCTCCAAAGAAACTGACGATAAACCGGCGGTTTACATCGTCCCATTTGGCACACTCACGTAACCAGCCGGTGCTGTGGTAATGATAGATGTGAGTTGTGGGGGCGGAAGTTTCCAGGTGGATTATGAAAGCAATAGGAATTGCTGATACGAAAAAGAGGAGTAGAAAGAATTTGGTTGAACAGAAGAAAGAAGCCATGTTAAGAGTGTTTTTTTTCGGTGGAGATGAGAAAAAGATGGTATTTTG